CTTTAAGTGACTTGAGTTCATGATATATATCAGCCTGAATTGTGTGTAAAGGCATTATTCAGATTAACAAACTTTCTTATCTGAAAGTAGCTATGATTTCAATACATATCACAGACATTTTGAGTCAGTTTGTAGAAAGCCCTCGAGCTTTGTTTCATGCAGGTTGATGCACATTCTTACAGTTTAGGCTTGCTGATTAGTGCAAACAAGCGTGAATCTTAGTTCTCAGGCTTGTCATCGATCGAACTCAAATTCCAAATTATTGTGCACCACAGGGTCATATCGCTCAGCTTAGTGGCCATATTATGAAGCCTGACAGATGCAGTTTCATTAATACTTAGCATTTATGGCTAAATAACTACACTAGTTACCGGTTGATAGCTGAAGTTGTAATGAGGCGAACAGAAGCAATATTCATCTTTGTCATCAAGCCAAAAATTCGAATTCCACCTGTTGACACATTTGTAATTCTTAAAGATGATATGGAAGACACCTTCAAATTAATCAACCCACACATAAGAAGGAATTCACTTCACAAAGGAGGAGAAATCCAATAAGGCAATTCAACTCTTAGATGTTCACATAAGTAGAACATGCTCTATGACTTTACAAACTGAAGTGTAAAGGAAAACCAAACACTCTGATCAAACTTTGGATTAAGACAGGAATCATCTTACAATCATAAAAAGTGTTGTGCACAAACATTGTTCCCAAAGTCAGAATTTATTGTAGCAGTGAAGCACTACAGAAAGCCGAAGAAAAACACCTGTACAAGTTTCCAAATTTTATCAAAAAGGGTGTGTTATACTACCTACCCTATGTCAAAGATGTCTCAAAAACTGTAAACCGACTGACTCGTCATTTTGGAATCACACTAGAACATAAACTAACAAAATCACTACATAATATATATCCATCGCTAAAAGAAGACAGGAGGAATATAATCTACAAAATCAACTGGAATAACTGTTTACAGCAGTACGTTGGCCAGTTTAATTGTTGGGTTGCTCAAAGAATTTATAAGCATGCACCAGCAGTAAAGTGACGTGATGTGGACACCTTGGTTTCAATGCATAGAGACAATCATGACCAAAAATTCAATTATGAAAATGTTATAATCTTGCAAAGAGCAGGTTCGAAAGCTCCAAGGGAATATATGGAAACACAACATTTAAATGAAATGTCAATCAACGGACATGCGGATATAGACCTGCTCTGTATTCTACTCAGGAAGAAAATAGCCATCCATCAAGCAGATGGCAAGTTTGCTGAACAAACTAGTAATGATGTACAGTATGAAAAGTGACTGAAAAAAGTTCAACGTCAAAGAGGTCAGGGTCTGATAAAAATCGCTTCACAAACTTAAAGTCAGACAACATCCAAGACCAATAAAAACATCGTAGAAGAATGGAATAAGCCTCATTTCTTTATGAAGTTAATGCTGAAAATGTCACCAAGCCTGGTGATGAAATTTTCAAGACAGAATGCACAATAAGTGGCTGTCATGGCTCAGTGATATAGTGGATAACGCTCTCGTGTTTGAAGCGATAGCTCCTGAGTCCAAATCCCGGTGGGAACAACATTACTCACCGAGAGGCAGGTACATCCAGTTGTCTAGTCCCAAATAGGACGAAATGCGCGTCTTGGATCCCACTGCTACCCATTACTCACCATTACTATGCAGAAAATATCAAGGCATCCGCACAAGAGCCCATATACCAACAGAGACTAATCAATTCAGTCCAATCAACGACTGTGTAATGCCAAAGACTAGAGAACCAGCATAATTTTATATAGAATTACCTTATGACAAGTAGCTTTAGTAGTTTCCTAATAAATCTGTCTAGGAGAGGAGGGAGAATTGTCATGACAATTACTGCTTACAATTAATCAATAAGAGCAGAGTTAATCTTTCTTAAGGTGGATCATTATTACGAATTCATCAAATAATATTGATCCGTTTTTAGAAAAACCATTTTTGTAAAATATTTTTAACAAAGTTTTAAGATTTGTATTGTATCTTAGTTACAGTAAACTTTCAAAATTATAGCATAAACCAGCATTTTAAAACTTGTCAAAACTTTTCAACATCGAAGAACAAAAGGAAAAACACTTAGAACATAAATAATCAATACAATGATACCTAATATGTTCAATCGTTTTAAGATATGTTTTAAAAACGTATCAGCATAAAGAGGCGAAAAACATTCTCTTCTCCTTTTTGTTGTTACTCATAACAATATTTTAAAGTAAATTTATTGTCATGTAATATTTCTATATCTAACCTATATTTCATTTCTTCTCTTTCACTCCTGTCTATAAGATACTTAGAAATGAGATTCGTAGTGTGTGTGTGTGTGTGTATGTGTGTGTGCATAGATTCAGGCAATTGATAATCAATAATCGATTCTTAAATTAATGATAACATTGTTGGCATGTTGACATCGTATGAACTTTTATTTGTGAAAATGTAAGTGTATTTTTTAAGTCTACTTGAAACCAGATGATCTGAATTTATCCAGGATCATAGCTCATCCATTGCACTGAGAAGGCCGACTGGGGACATCATGCATCAGGTCATTTGCTCGAGTGGAATCCCCATGGAAAGCGACGAGTTGGACGTCTTAGGGTGATATGGAGGAGGTCGTGCGAGGAGGAAATGAGAGCTTCTAGACTGTCATGGAACCAAGTTCAAAAGATCTCAGAGAACAGAGATCACTGGAGACGTGCTACTGAAGCCCTATGTTTTATTAGGAACCCAAGGGACTAATATTAATAAATAGCTCATCCATAAGTGATCAAAATGCCTGTCTAGTGTTAATATCACTGTCATATATATATATATATATATATATATATATATATATTGCCAGATGATCAGAAATATATTTATTGCATGGTAGTCTTGCTAAAACGTGTACGTAGGTAACATTTATTTGTTCAAACTGGAAGAGATTCCTAGAAGAAAGCAATGATTTCAGTAATAATTCAAGCGAAGAACTTGGGCAATGTATTGGGGTATAGCTTCATGTTAATCTGTTTATCGGATATTTCATACAATGAAACACCATTATTTATTAGATTACATTTCGAACAGGATATAATAGTGATATTCATATGAACGGTAACTCCACATCTTTCACTACACTCCATCTAGGAAATAAAGCATAAGAAACGAAACTATAAAAAACGGTGTGAAATATATGAATTTACTTGTCTACGAATATACGTAGAGTGGTTAAAGACTTTACTGACATCAATTTCTATTGGTAGTTAAGTACAAAGCCTAAGAACATTATGAGATCCAATTATTTGACTGGCAAGTGGATAGGCAAGATTGATATCAAAGTAAACGAAGGTGTATAAGAGGAGAGGAAATCTTAATATTAAGGTTGTTCGAAAAAATACAAGATATGGAAAACAAAAAGGCATGAATACTTCTCCTGCATAGTGCCCAATTTTCAGCGATTTGACCAAGAGTAGTCATCCACCAATTTATACCTCTGGTATTACCATCTAGACATTTCACAATAGCTCAGAACTTCCTGAAAACACTCACAATCAGTTATCATGGACTTAATAATCTTGAAAAGTCCCAAGGTTATGCAAGTGTTTACAGAGTTGGATAACAGGACTTCATCAATAGGAAACAAGCTTGTAAGTCAGTGGACCTATAATCAAGATCACTGAAAACATATGCATACCGTTGCATGTAAGACAGATTTTAGCTTAAGAAATAAAATTTATACCTTTTCACCTCTTCCTTTCTGTTTTCAAGAGATCATGTGAATCATCTTCATGTTGACAATAAGCTGAATGGTTTTCTTTGAGGTTGTATCCATCTATTATTGTTGTAGAAATTGTTCAAAAGAAGTAATATACAGATTTTCATCAACACATAAGATTGAGCAGCTTTAGGGCAACATGTATGTCAAAAGAATTCATTTCATTTGCTTACAAACTAATCAAAAAATGTTTCATTTGTGGCAATCATTCTCTGAAATACGTTGACAGCGTGTCTTTTTAAAGATTATATTGAAAGATGACACACTGAGTACTGTATGACACATCAAATACAATTTATAGTTCTACTGCGTTAATCTCATGTAAATATCTGTTAGACCAGTTGAATTTAGGCAGATTCCTCTTTTTATGTCATATGAAATCGAGTCCACCGATTTCAATGTACATAGTAGAGATATTTATTTGAATAATAGAAAGTAGGGTTCTTGTTTAAACTGTCAACAATATTCTTAAAGAACTGGCATATAAGTGATCATATTCATTGTGTAGCATCGATAACACCAACAACATTTCCCCCTCATCCTGTTGCTTGGCTAATACATATGCAGGATCTTTACTAAATCGTGGTTGGGATTCACAAATCCTAAAGTTATTTTTAGTGATAAATAAGTGAACAAAAACTTGAACTATTTACTGAAAAATTGATTTAAATATGCCAAGCTGGTACCATTTACAGTCTTAATGATAAGGAATTTACTGAAATATATTCGAAACCTAATTATAGTACACTGTCTTTTCCCTCTTTGTTTATTTCTCAGGATAGTATAAATACTCTGATTTTTTAGGATTGTTTGTAACCCATGAGATTCAATAATTGTGTGACTTCATGTGCAGTTTGGTAGACCATACCTATTTTGTAAGGTTTATTGATACCATCTGCCTAATCAGACCTCGACAAATGGTGCTTAGTTCGCAAATATAACCCTATGATTGAACTACAGCTCTGTTAACACTACATATTTCAGTCAGCTTCCCTTCATCGGAGCATTAACTTAATCATTCTATGAGTAGTCACTTTCAGAGACAATCTGAAATAGTTTATATATTGAACCTCAAAAGTGGTTGGAACAATTTAATACTACTAAAATTTGGGATTTCAGTAGCTGAGGAGAAAACATCAATCCACTTTTAACTTCCTAACTACACAGTATTTATTACACATATATTTCGTCTCTGTTCCATTTGCTTTTCATCAGACTAGTGATTTGAATCCAATAAAAAATTGATGGCTACCATAGATATGGCTAAGTCTACACCTTCAGTGGTTAATATTCATAATAAACAAAAAACAGCTGATAATCGCCGTATTCATCAAGAGCCGTATAAACTAAACATTGAGAAAACGGATTATTCATCATTTCAAGCTACTCTTCAAAATCTAGATTTGAATCATTTAAGCGAAGATGAACGTCAAAAAGTTTTGGATGTAATCAAAAATGATTTTCTAATACGCGCCAAAGAAAGAGAAAGATTAAAGTGAGTACCTTTTTGGCATGTGAATTTTGTTTTAATTTCAGTTTATTCACTATCACTATAAAATACTATAAGGTTTCAAAGCAGTTTACAGATAATATTGATGAGAATACTTTCGGGTACTCGGGTAAGTACTAAACTTTATATTCATTTAAGAATTGGGAGCATTCACTTGACAGATTAAACTGATCAGCGGAACTACAGAGTTTTCTTCTTCTAGTATAATTATCAAATGATTCTGAAGTAACTAACCACCTTGAAGGTGAGTGTATAATCGGTCCGAGAAGCCTTGAAATATTGAATGGATGAAGACAATTACATGCAACTTAATGCAGGATTCTGATGATAATAAAAGGAGATTAAATCGAAGGGAATTATTTCTCCTATGATTGTCTCAGACTATTTGCTAATTCTGTAGGTTTTTCCATCGATGTACATTCTCCAAATAAGACAAGTTTATGAATAAGACGTTCAAGCTAGAGTATGCTTCAGTATTAGGCTGTAGATTTTAAAATTTATTCATAAACTTTATTTCAACTCCTCAAACCTTGCAAAGTTTAGCGCAGTAGCTGGGAAAATAATCTTCTAGCTGTTGATATACTTTATGATTTAATCTAAAAGTTTTATACTTTGGAATCTATAAGTCCTTACTAAGTGTGCGACTTTATAAACCTGTTGTTTACCTAAATTTTTCTACAACGGTTCGTACAGGTAATTTCTAGGCAATATGGGACCGTTTGAAGGCATACTTGAATGCGTATCACAATTCAGGAGGCCATCTATCATGCAGTCATATCGATGAATATTTTTACTGTACGCACTTCAACTATAAACTGTAAGAAGCGGTCGACTACTGAAATAACTACCTGAACATTGTTAAAAGGTTGTGTCTACTATAATTCCCTTTCCTATTGGTCCGTTCAAGGTCGTTTAACGGTGGCCTAAGCCCCCCAAGTTTCTTCAACTAGACTGTAAGCTGAACAGACGTCTGTTTAGAAAGAGAATAGGTATTTAATGAAAGATTCATCTGAAAGACAGTTTAAACTGTTCAATAATCTATTCGCTACAGTTTCCTGATATATATCAGTCTGGGTTTCATCAACCATCTTCACAAAAATAATAAAGCCTATTATTCCCTCCATGTTACTTTTTGTTTCAAAGTTTAAATGTCAACAATGGCATAATTATCATTTGACTATCTGAGATAGCCGCAGTTTGGCAGACTCGTATTTGTACTGGGTAATGATTGAAGGTGAGATGAAAATCTAGACTGCAGTTCGAATCCAGCCGTGGTCCAGATTTTCATCTCACCTTCAATCATCACCCAGTCCAAATGACACAACTATTTTCTTGCCTACTATCTTCTTTCTCATAAATTTACTATTTTGCTGAAGATATCACCAGGAGTGATTGTAACTTTTAAGAGTTCAAGGGTTTCAAATAATATCATACATTTATTAGTACTTATAATTTCTTACGGTTATTCTTGATGGAATAGACTGATTTCCTTCAGTATATGGGCTTTTATGTAAATGTTTAGATGTAACCTGATTCTTGATAACGTTAGAGTTTTTTGGTGGTAACTAACAGTCGTATCCAGGACACCCGTTTCCTACTATTCGGAACTTGTCTGCTGGGTGTACCTGAAACTCAGTGAGTGATTGTGTTTCACCTGAGACTCGAATGCAGAGTCCATCTCTTTAAATACCAGTATTGTCCACCCGGTTACGAGAGCCACTTCTTCTGCACCAGGTATTAATCAATATTATTTATCGGTACTTGCAATTGGTTATTGTTTTTCTGGATCGAATTGATTGGCCTTTGTTGGTATTTGGGCTATCATGTGGTTAGGGTTAGGGGGTTAGCTTGATTTCTATGCGCCACTTTAATTGGTTATTTGTGTTATGAAACTGAGGTTTATGTTATTTCGGTTCATAGTCCTAGATGTTACCGTTAGGCAATTCCAGTTGTCAGCGTCTACCTCTGAATGCTTAGATGTTTGAACAAAGTTGAAGAGTTCAACAGTGAATACTTCGCAGTTGACATAAAACCTCAGTATATTTACCTTTATGAGCAGCAGTAATTTAGTAGTCTGAAGTCTTCTGAAAGAGCTAAGGTCTAATCTTCCATACGCCTTTGGTGTATGTAATTTCACGGTACTAATCAGTTGGTATCCTAGAAATCAATTGTTAATTTGTAGTGGTTTATTGATTTGAACTTGGTCTTCATCATGAACTGACGTCATTTGAAGAACCATCGAAAACTGACAAGTACTAGATAACTGTTTCGTCTTGGTTTGAGACTTTTAACAGTGCACATCCACGACTTTGATATGGATCGAATTCAGAACTTTCCGGTTTCACAGTGAGAACACTAATACTTAGCCACTAGGTTGAAATTCAGCTGGCCGGTATTTTCTACATCTGTTTAATTCCAGAAAAAGCAAGATCATTATCCATTATTATCCATGAGCATTCGCCTCACTTCCAACTTGACCTAGCATGTCACGACTACTTATTTTAACCTGGAGAAATCCATCTAGAAGGAATTCCCTAACAAGCACGGACTTGTAGAAATTTATTGGTTTGGAAATAGTCTTTTTTCTCTTACAAGATTAACTAAAATATAATCATGACTTGGTTGAAACCTATAATAATTATTGTGTCCCAAGTGGAAAACTGATGCAAGAAGTAAGTTGTATTTTTACAAATCTCATTGTACTTAAGATAAAATGATTTCAGTATTGTACAGGTGGAGTGTAGTTTCAGCTACTTGAGAGAAGTAACACTAAAACAAGGGAAGTTTAATGTGATCACCAAATGAACTACCAACTGAAGCCGGAGGAAGTATTAAAAAGAAAAACCCTAGGTAGACTCACTTCAAAACACTTCAGAACTGTGTTCAATCCAAGTTTCATTTGATGAGGCTTTCTGTTGAGTTTTCAGGTTGATATATTAGTTTTCATCCCTCCAGCTTGAAATTGGAAGGCATGCTTGAGGAATAATCTCGTCACTGCTGAGGGTATAGTGCACAGTAGTCAAACTTTTTCTGTTGAATGAATATAATTACAGTTGTTTTATCATAGGTATCTCCATATTACTGCACCAAGGGAGCGAAACTACCTTGGGAAGTGCTGAAGTTTAGAAAACCAATTTGGAAAGGCAAGTCCACTGTTGATGCTGTGAATCTTCAACGAGTGAACGGGTTTTAACATTTACTCATGTTGAGCTACTACCTACCTCGACATACTTTCTCAGTCAGATTAGGATTAAGTTTGCAGAAAGTCAAGGATGATAAACCAAAATGTGGTGCCAGTTTATAAAGTCACCGATTATTGGTATGGACAGTTCAAGGTTTGCGTTGGAAACCACTCCTGAGTCAAGATCATACGGTGTAGTCTCTGACACAAAACTGTCATGAAATAATGAGATAAACCACTAAAGAAAATAGTTAGAAACTACTCATACTGTTCAGCAGACTTTTCTAGTCAGATCGAAACAGTCTAATCAGAGGACTACCATTTCACTTGTTTCTGGTTGAGCTCATCAAGTGTACACCTGAACAAGTTCAGCTGATGAAGATGAATTGCTTATATCACCCTAAACTGGCTAGGTGACCTTAACGAACTGACATGTCTTGAACAGAATGATGAATTTTGGGTTAGTCACAAACTCGATGAACCACTGTGATATTTCTCACAGTTGAGTAGCTTTTTAATCTGTTAAATGAGTTATCAACAAGATTTCTTTTGGAAACCACTCTTGAATCAAGGTCACATGATGTGGTCTCACAACGGACTGTTTAACTCTAGGATAACAGATTCCTTTTTAAGTAGAAATTATAACATATTTTAAACATTTTGGGATTTACCATATGACAACTGATAAATGGGAACCATTAAGCATGATTTTATAGAATAGTTGAGTAGCAAAGCATGTTTGATTGCGGTGAAGAATGTGATGAAAGAAGTTCAGTTTCTACAGAAGAGAAGTTTCTCAGTCTTAAAAAGTTCTTCAGTAGTCTCAATAAATCATTAAATTCCCTGTATCGGAAATATGAGTGCAATAAATTTGTTTCATATTTATGCAATGGGTCTCAGAATACAACCCTTAAAATGAATCTACCCATAAGGACAAGAGAAAACATTTCGTGAATATTCACGATATAATCGTGAACTGAGGGAAATGTAAAATATAAAACGGCTGGATTTTGATACAGTAGCTGAATGACAACGATCCGCTCACAGGAAATGGATGTCTTGAGTTTGATCCTTGTTGGAATGGGGTCACTGATTAATACTGCTGAGGAGTCTCATCATAAGATGAAACAGATTTCCAGTGCTACCTGTTTTCAAATGTTTCTATAAATGATGTCAATGAATGATGAGTACATACCTAAAATAATAATAATTGCTGAAGATTGTCAAACAGAAATACGCTGAGTGAATAAATTAATGAAGAGAAAAGAATATGCTAAAGTTGAATACTTTGGATAAAAAAGACTTAGTAATCAAGTAAAAGCATTTCCAACAAACTGCAGACATACACCATCAACAGCTGCCGCCTACACTCACTCGATACTGAATATCAGATGAGAAGGTGAGGAAGAATAATCGAGGAGGAACTCTGGTGTGGCAACGAACCAATAAACGAAGCAAGAAGCTGTCGGCTAACAAATATGCAGAAGATGGAAGTGGAGATGGACTGTATTGGATTGGGCATACACCGAGAAGGTCACTTTGGGGAGATCGTGTGCCAGGCCAATCCGTCAAGTGTATCTCAGAGGGGAACTGACGAGTTGGGCGTCCGTGCTGAGGTTGACATTGAGTGGATTGTGTGAGGAATAAATGGAAGTTTGTGGTGAGTGTTGTAGCCAGTTAGAAAAGAGTGGAGAGAAGAGAGCGAGATGGTGACGTGGTACTGAAACCTTATGTTCCACTAAGAATCCAAGGGACGAATGATAATTGTATAATAATCAATGCCAACCTGAAAACAAGAGTTAAGAACAATAAACCTGCTGAGATAGAGAGAACGTTCACGTGCTTAACCATTTGGTGTTTGAGGAGCTTTAACCTCATCCTTTATCTATCGAAGAAATCGTCCGCTTTATGCATGTCTTAGTTCGTAAAAGAACATTACGCCAGCTAATCAAGTCGTGCTATTTATTGTCAAATTTGATGTTTGCCAGTGGTCTTAAAACTCGATCTACTTGATTTGTGATGATATTTCAGTATTTTTCTTTCACAAGGAGTCAAGCCTTTAGATCTACTACCACTGACTTCTACAAATGATTGTGTTTTTTCTAATCTTCGTTTTTTATGCTGACCAGCTTTAAACCAAACAAAAAAGCATAGTAATGTTAACTTACACGAGTTCATTGTCTAAATCTATGATTAAGAGTGTTTCAGAGAATCGCGAACGACCCTCCTTTCTGAGGAAAAATAAGACAAACAGAATAGCACTTTAATCTTGAGTATAGATTCTCAGAATTATTGCATTCACCATAGTCTCAGCACAGAACATTCACAGAGGATATTCATTTTGAAGCTTTCGAAAGCAATAATCACCCTTCAAGATGGTGATCTCGTTTCCTTAGGATTAAATATGATCATTCATCTTACTAAACGGTGTTAATCATAGATGGTTATGTCTTATTTATCGTATGAACACTGAACTAGATTAAAACTATCACTCTTTGTGTTAAGTACATAGGCTATAAAAATGTCTGCCTACATTGTCCAGTAACTCCTGGATCTTATTCTGAACATTTCCATGACTTGAAATCCTCCACCTTAAAGGAACAAAGATTTATTATTGAATGAATTCTACTCATTACCATAGTTCTTAATTGACTGAAAGGTTAAAAAATAAACGGAATTTACTACTGAATCATATGCAACACTACAACCGTAGTGTTGAAGCAGCCGCAAAATTACTTCTCGGTCAATGCTATCGAAGGCCTTTTCAAAATCGATCAATCATTCACGAAGCCAATTGTCACCTGTATGGCGTATTGATGAGATAACTTAGTTCAGCACAGGGTGATGCTGGTTAAAATCACTTTTCATCCATTATGCCCATTAATAACATGAAATCAAAACAGAAGTGCACTCAGTAGCCAGATACATATCTTAGCTGACAGACAATGGGTCAAACCTCTTGTTATGGGCTGATGATACTCTATGTAGCTTCTAAAACTTCTGTAGGTGGGCATAGTTTCAAGTTCTTTATCCAGTGAATGAAATTTAAGTACCTAGACGGATGTGACATTGCTGTATTTTTAAAATAGTCGATATAAGGTGAATTTTACAGTTTTATCAACTCCATCAATCTTCTACTGAATCTACTTTGAAGTAAAAACTAACTGTAAAATTATCCATCTAAGACAGTATCAAATAACCCATATTATTTGACTTATCATCGCCATTGTTATCAGATTTTCTTTAAGTACTCTGTTTTTGTTACTTTTATCCCAAATGATCTTTGAATAATTCATGACCTTGATATTCAATATAATATTGTATAACTTTCAGTAATCAACTTCTATTGATGCATAATTGACGTATATTTTTTCTGGATTTTATTTTTCTTTTTATGAAATTCTCAAAATTATTTAGTCGATTCCGTTGTAGTATCCTTAGAAGAGATAAAGAGTTGGCTGCTAAAAATCTTTTAATGGTTGTTGAAAGTACATCATGTTTACTATGTGGACGAGCATTTATGGCCTTATTTAATCCTAAACGTATATGTGCCAACTGTCAAAGAACAATATGTCGAAATTGTTCTGATTCTGTGCCTAAATTCAATGGTTATTTTTGTACACTATGCCTTAAAGAAACGTAAGTTATGCGCATATATATATATACATATATATAGTTAAGTTATTACCATGATTCAGGCTAATTTCCATCAAGCACTGGAATCATTTCAAGAACTGTCTACAAGTGAAGAGCGCTGAAGATCTTTTTCTTCCTGGTTAGGAACTCATCAGTGGTACATATAAATGATCACACCACTGGTCGAACGCAGAATCATCACATTTTCGAATGTGTACGTTATCATTGAATCACTGGGTTAAAATTCACTAGTACAATATTTCCCAATTCTATCAGTTTGTGATATAATAGGGTTTCCATCCCTTATCAAATGCATATATCTATCTTCACTTCAGATATGTTTGACCTTAAAAGTTAGGGGAGTCCATCTGGAAGTAAGGCAGCAATAGCATTACAGTTAATGGTTACTTTTTTTAATTGTCTTTAACGAATAATTGAAAACCAGTATGAACTAAGAAACTGATTCATTTTGGCATGAAACTCTCATGGAGTAATACACAAACTTACTTTCTTTTGTCTTTGGATGAAAAACTGACAAAACTCTCAGGGAATCAATGAAACTAAACTATCAAATGGTTTGTAATCTCCAATGTCAATTTCTTTTTTCAAGTTGTTATTCATTGTAAACTGACAGTTGGAGGAACAAAGGAAACCTGGTAGCACTGGACAGCCGTTTTGCCCTATTATGGGACTCCTCAGCAGTGTGCACCTATGACCTCGCACCATCAGGGATCGAACACGCGACCTTCAGGTTCCGTGGCCAGCATGCTACCATTGAACCACGGGGTCAGAATCCAGTGGCGGTTGTGCTATATTGTGAGCTAACAGTAGTTGAGAATATGGACCATTAGTCCATACTAGGACGAAACAGCTGTCCAGTGCTGCCAGGTTTCCTTTCTTCCTCCAACTGAGACGGACCTTTTTACAGATTCATATTTACATCATTCTTAAGTAGGAGGTCAGGAAATAAAACACTGGATTACGTAAGAATACCAACGGCTAGAAAACAGCGCCAGCACGATTGAAATGAAGGATAAATAACTTTGAAGATGCTGGGGTTAAGAATTTAGTTTGTAGGTTGGTGGGGATTTATTCATTGATTTCAGGTCAGCTCTGTCCATGATAGGGCCAGTGGTGCACAGTTCTGAGGAGTCCTAAACTAAGACGAAACAGCTGTCCATTGTTCTTAAGTCCCCACGTTTCCCCAACTGATATCAGTCCATTATGAATACCAACCACTCCTGGTTAACTAGTTCACTAGTTACTAGCCGGTCCTAACCCCGGATAAAGAGGGAAGGTTGGGCATGGGGCTAGCAACCCTACCCAATGAAACCAATCCAATAGCTAAAGAAACTTCAAAGCACAAAAAATATAATAAATAAAAATAAATTTATTCTCCACTGGAGTCGGAAAGACGAAATGATGCTGGTTGGTGAAAGTCTTCGGGAAGCCAGTTGGCTGATATGTCTTCTCTAGCTCGATGAAAGAGAAAGTATGGATGGGGATATGGAATGTCCGCAGAACATTTGAACCTAGCAAGGCAGCACAACAATGCTGCATACTATCACCGATGATCTTCATCATGGTGGTCGGCTGGACTGGATCATGCAACAGACCGTGAGGAGCAAGAAGAGGGGCACACGCTGACTGCGCCGATGAAAATACCCCACACCATTTGGATTTCACCCATGATGATTCATATCTAACATCACCCAAACTCCAAGATGTACAGGCAAAAACCAACAAGTTGACAGAAAAGGCGAGATAGTGAAGACTAGGCCTCAAGTGAACATGGAGATGACAGAGGTGATGAAGACACCCAACCAACAACAACAACAACAACAAGCCCCAATCACCATGAACGAGTGAAAGCTAAGGGAGGTAGTCTCTTTCACCTACCCACCTATACAGGAGGCAGCATCATTTCAACTACAGGTGGCGATGGCAGCGTCGGCAGCACAGATAAGGATATCAAATCCAGCCAGCATCGGAAAGACAACAAGACACGCCTTCGTCAACCTGAAATCAGTGTGGAGATCTACTTCACTCAACTCAGCATAAAGCGAGAACAACATTCCAATATGCATCACTAAGTCAGTCAAGTGAGTCAGTGCTTCTATGTGATGGTTGAGAGACTTGGCACGTTGTGAAAAGCATTTCCAACAAACTGCAGACATACACCATCAACAGCTGCCGCCTACACTCACTCGATACTGAATATCAGATGAGAAGGTGAGGAAGAATAATCGAGGAGGAACTCTGGTGTGGCAACGAACCAATAAACGAAGCAAGAAGCTGTCGGCTAACAAATATGCAGAAGATGGAAGTGGAGATGGACTGTATTGGATTGGGCATACACCGAGAAGGTCACTTTGGGGAGATCGTGTGCCAGGCCAATCCGTCAAGTGTATCTCAGAGGGGAACTGACGAGTTGGGCGTCCGTGCTGAGGTTGACATTGAGTGGATTGTGTGAGGAATAAATGGAAGTTTGTGGTGAGTGTTGTAGCCAGTTAGAAAAGAGTGGAGAGAAGAGAGCGAGATGGTGACGTGGTACTGAAACCTTATGTTCCACTAAGAATCCAAGGGACGAATGATAATTGTATAATAATCAATGCCAACCTGAAAACAAGAGTTAAGAACAATAAACCTGCTGAGATAGAGAGAACGTTCACGTGCTTAACCATTTGGTGTTTGAGGAGCTTTAACCTCATCCTTTATCTATCGAAGAAATCGTCCGCTTTATGCATGTCTTAGTTCGTAAAAGAACATTACGCCAGCTAATCAAGTCGTGCTATTTATTGTCAAATTTGATGTTTGCCAGTGGTCTTAAAACTCGATCTACTTGATTTGTGATGATATTTCAGTATTTTCTTTCACAAGGAGTCAAGCCTTTAGATCTACTACCACTGACTTCTACAAATGATTGTGTTTTTTCTAATCTTCGTTTTTTATGCTGACCAGCTTTAAACCAAACAAAAAAGCATAGTAATGTTAACTTACACGAGTTCATTGTCTAAATCTATGATTAAGAGTGTTTCAGAGAATCGCGAACGACCCTCCTTTCTGAGGAAAAATAAGACAAACAGAATAGCACTTTAATCTTGAGTATAGATTCTCAGAATTATTGCATTCACCATAGTCTCAGCACAGAACATTCACAGAGGATATTCATTTTGAAGCTTTCGAAAGCAATAATCACCCTTCAAGATGGTGATCTCGTTTCCTTAGGATTAAATATGATCATTCATCTTACTAAACGGTGTTAATCATAGATGGTTATGTCTTATTTATCGTATGAACACTGAACTAGATTAAAACTATCACTCTTTGTGTTAAGTACATAGGCTATAAAAATGTCTGCCTACATTGTTCAGTAACTCCTGGATCTTATTCTGAACATTTCCATGACTTGAAATCCTCCACCTTAAAGGAACAAAGATTTAGTATTGAATGAATTCTACTCATTACCATAGTTCTTAATTGACTGAAAGGTTAAAAAATAAACGGAATTTACTACTGAATCATATGAGTAGTTAGAAGTCACTGTTATTGATTTATAGATATGTCTAACTCGATCAAAGTAATCCAAATCACTGGTGAGCTCGACCACAAGACAGCGAAACAGCTGTCTAGTGTTTAGATCACACTGACTTGACCAAAGAAACACACAGATCAGTCTTAGTTGTTTTTAATTACTCATGCTAATCAGTTATATATTTGGTTAGCGTATGATACTTTTGTGTCAAAGATCATATCGTGTACATTTAGCTGAAGGAAACTCTGCTGACACGATAGTTAGCCAGCTGGAAATCTAATCATCTGTGAGAAATTATAAGGTAGATAAGATCATTTTCAGACTGATTATCCTAACATGGAAATACAACAAGTTGCATATCATACAGACAACTACCTTATGACCAGCAACATTTAGTTTATGAAGATGTTCAATGGAATACACTTAGTTGGCAACCAACTTCAAAAATCAGACGAAAATGATAACCATTAAACGTTTGATCAAGTTCAATATGGTGTATAAGCAAATTATTGCGTCTTTTGGTCTTGCGTTCTCGTGTCGATTATACTAGGTTGAACTAATAAGAAACTATTAGTATATACGTTATTTGAACAGATGCATTAGTATTGCTTCAAATTTTATTGAGATGTAAACTACTTGGATATGGTTGATAGTGAAATCCATAATGTGTGTTTATCCGCATCTGGAATTGAATATTTACTTGTTTATGCTAGGATCCCAGTGATTGGTGCCATTTTCACTGTTACTCATAAGCATCAATACTGTCAAGTCAGTCTTTCAAGGCTCAATTTTCTTTCTTGTGAACGTAAACGAATGAAATAACTTTCTTCTTCTCAGTCTAACCAGTTCCTTCTACTGATGGTTGAATTCAGTACGTCTACAACCCAATAGAAACGTAGTTATTTTTGAGAAGAACGGAGATTTTAATTTAGAAGTAGTATTCGTCATTGACTGATTTCAATTGGGGAACCAGTGAAAATCTGGGAGCAATGGACAGCTGTTTCGTCCAACTAGTATGGGACTCCTCAGCTATATCATGAATTGACAGAAGTTGGAAATTGTGAACCACTGACAACCAACCCAGTGGCTGGATGGTTAATGCGTTCGCCGTGAAACCTGAAAGTTTTGGGTCCGATCCCTAGACGAGTTGTGGGTGCATACTGCTGAAGAGTCTAATACTAGTTGGACGAAACAGCTGTTCAGTGCTCCCAGGCTTTCAATGGCTCCCAAACTGATATCAGTCCTAGATGAGTACTACTTCTTGATTTATTTTTACCAAACTGAATAATTCATCCAAATGGCTCAGTTCTCATAGTATTTAGCTTAATTTATAAGCAAAAGATGCAGACTTTCAAGCCACCATACATTATGGAGACTGACAACTTGTTCATTTTAGAAGTCTGTAAGGGAAATAACTGATTTCAAGCGAGTTTCATCACTGGTTGACAATAGCTAGAAGATCGTCCAAAATTAAAGGTAAGGGAATATTATTTTACATCTTAGTTTAAAAATCTCCGCATACATGATCAATAAAAACACTTTACCTGATCGAACCCTTGAATGTTCATTCATGATGAAAAATCCTTTTTCTCAATCCATCAGTTCTCTACAAACTAATCCAAGGCTCATTAGTGACCTAATCTGAGATGGGGCATTGAGACGTTTTAGTGAGAATTCATGAGTACGAGGAAAAATACATACTGATAGTAAGGGATGCTGTCTGTATAACATTGTCATATTATTTGTCACTTGGGTTCACAGTGGAACATAGGGTTTCAGTAGCACATCTCAATTCCACTCTCTTCTCTCCAGTCCTTTCCACCTGCCTCCACAACTCCCCAGAAACTCTCATTTCATCCTCACATCATCTCCACAATGTCACTCTCAGCTCAAAAGCCAAACTCGTCGTTTCCATTTCGGGTTCCAGTAGATGACCTGGTCTGACGCCTGATGTCCCCAACTCCGTCTTCTCAGTGTATGCCAACTCCATCTACACTCCCTTCCTACGAATATTTTTCCAGTGATGACTTCTTAGTTGATTCATTGTCTGGCCACACTTCCTTGTTGCTTATTCTTATTATTCTGGCCATCTGATCTTCAGTAACGAGCCAGTGTAGGCAATTGTTGATGAATGTGTGTGGTTTGTTGAAGGAAATGCTTTTCATAACGCGCAAAGTCTCCCCACCAGCATATACAAGTACTGACTTGACTGACTTAGTGTTGAAAATCGCGATGTTGTTCACACTTTATGCTGAGTGCATTAGATCTCTACACTGGTTTCAGGATAATGAACGTTTGTCTTGCTGTTTTTCCAATCGTGGCTGGCTTTGACATCCTCGTCCATGCCAGTGTTGCCTGTAGTTGTGACAGTGTTGCTTAGATGGGTGAAAGGGACTATTTTCTTTTAAGTTTCTCCTGTTGATGATGATTGGAGCACGTTGTTGTTGTTGGTGGTGGTGTTGGTTGGGTGGTATCATCATCACCTCTGTCTTCTCAACATTCAATTGAAGTCCTGTCTTCACTGCTCTGCCTCTTCTGTCAACTTTTTGGATTTTGCCTGTAGATTTTCGAGGATGCTGTCTGTACTAATCATAAATTAAGAAAAGTCAGAAAACCAAAGCACCTGGATACCAATGTAATATCTTGTCAGTAGCATAATGACAATGAAACCTGATGATATAGATGAAAACTACAATGAAACAACTGTTTATTACTCATGTGAAGACTGATTATTTGATTTTTATGTTCATCGATTCACATACTTTGTTACATAGTCGGATTCAATCTTTTTAAACAAAAAAAAACGTCCATTTATGTCATAAAGAAGAAAAAAGCAGATTCAGCGATAAAATTGTTGACTTGGACCTTTACAAATTGTTCCTAGTGTTAGAAGTCAATTATGTAATGATACATCATGAGTAAGATCATGACAGAAGAAGGTATTGAACATAAACATGGTCTTCGCTTGAATTGTTGAATCGGCAAATACTTTATCGTGTACAAATTATTTCTGATACTTATAAATAGAATCTTACAGATTTAGTCAAAAAACCTTCTTTTCATGGACATATATATTATTTCTTCAAGTTTATTTTCAAGAAAATCATGGAACACTACAAAACTTTCTTCATGCTTCATTCCACCTTTTCTCTTCTTTTTTCTATGGTTAAAAAATTTCTCTGCATTACATCTTATTGATTTTATGAAAGTCATCCATGAAAAAGCTCCGTCTATCATCCATTGAGTTACTGACACCAAACGAATTGAAAACAATCTCTAATCTTTCATAGAGAGCTTCCTTCCTATTCTTACAAATATGAGTTACACTAAACATGTGACATATCAGTTACTATATAATGATTAAGCAAATGAAAGTTGACCAAGAACTTCGTTTTTCATTGTTTAATTTTTTCTACTGTTTACTTCTGATTAAGGGGTTATCGAGCTATGACGTGTAATTGGTTTTATGATACAGTTATTCAGCGATTTAGAGAATTCGGTAGTACTACAGTGGCAAAAAGTTTATTCGGATCAAAATACAAACGTAAGTTTATTGTTATCACTAGGTTTCTTTTTCCCAATCAGTATTTACTTCAAATAAATCTCATTATATTATGTGCAGGCAAGTAATTGAGTTGGATAAAATAGAGAGATTGTAGTCATGATGTTTTTAGTATTTATGCGATATTCGTGGGATATCTCTTGATTAGTGAATTTCGATGGTGATGATACAGTTTCAACAGTAAGATGGTGATCTTTGCAAAATGGCATTACTTATTATTATTATTTGTCCCTTGGGTTCCTAATGGAACATAGGGCTACAGTAGCACGTCTCCAGTGCACTCTGTTCTATGAAATTTTCTGAACCTGGTTCCACGACAGCCCAGAAATTCTCATTTCCTCCTCGCACGATCTCCTCCGTGACACACTCACCTCGGACGCCTAACTCGGCGCTTCTCATCTGGGTTCTACTCGAGGGCTTGGCCTGGCGCGTGATGTCCCCAACTCCGTCTTCTCAGTGTATGCCAAATCAATCTACACTCCCTTCCTACGAATATTTTTCCAGTGATGACTTCTTAGTTGATTCATTGTCTGGCCACACTTCCTTGTTGCTTATTCTTATTATTCTGGCCATCTGATCTTCAGTAACGAGCCAGTGTAGGCAATTGTTGATGAATGTGTGTGGTTTGTTGAAGGAAATGCTTTTCATAACGCGCAAAGTCTCTCAACCATACAGAAGCATTTACTTGGTAAACATTTATCGCAAATTATAACCTGCAATAAGAAGCTTTAAACAAGGTGGAGTTCACTACAGACCGGTAAAAGTTGGAGAATTTTATTGAACTTGAGCATGCTGGAAAGCCGTTTCATCTTAATATGACACTCCTCAGTAGTGAGCATATATGACCCTATATGGGGGTCGAGCCCAAGACTAGCCATCAGACCCAACCAGTCGTGAAGTAATGCGTGCGCACTTCTGAGAAGGGTCAAGCTTGAACAAGATACCTATCCAATGCTCTCAGGTTTTCAGTGATACCGTAAATGGTGTTAGTCAGTGATAAAAATTACTTTACTTAGTTCCCTTACTCCACTATGCTATTGTCTCATTTGACTAGTATCAGTAAAATAATGTATACCAATATTCTACTATGATTCAATATTTTACAAATTTTAATTTACATGCAGTTGAAGAAAACTAGCAAAATAATAAAACGGATTCAAATAATTCTCCTTCACCTTTTATTCATGCTGCTTTTAAAAAACGTTTAGTTGCGAGGTTTTGTAACGTGAGAGCTACATAGTTATTGTGTATGTGAAAACATGAGAAAACACTTTTGAACCCGAATAGATGTTTAATACAAGAACTTCTTATTACCCTTTGTTGACTGGTTTGAACTGAAATGATGGATCTCCATCGGCACATAAACTACCGTAACGATGCTTCAATATAATCGTTTAGGTCTGAGCCCCTGGTCTTGCGGTGAAAAATTTATCATTGAACCTTTAAGTCGAAGTTCAATGGTTCATACTGTTTCGATTCTGTCAACTTAGGATATAGCTCCATCAATGCCACTGGTGAGTATTTGTCCTGCATCCGACTTCACTGACCACACAGGTTATAGCTTTCGAAGAGAACTCCTAGAAATTTATCTCAAAGTATGTCACTAATGAGTATTAGATAGCAATTTAACTGATTGTTTGTTCACATTTATTGATGTTGGTTGCGCTATTTTGTGAATCGACAGTAGGTAAATCCTGAAGGTTGAACTACAGTCCACTGGTTGGATTGCAGCATGCTCACTGCAAAAGCTGACAGTCCTATATTTGATCCCCGATAAGGTCATGAGTGCGCGATAGTTAATAGTCCCCTATTAGGACAAAAAACCCTTCGAAGGCTTCCAGGTTTCCAATGATTCTATGAAAAAAACTAGCCTGAAACCAATCATTAATATAAGAGTCAAACTTATGCACAGTGGTAGAATGTAATTCCATTTTTACTGATTTATTAGATTTATCACCCAGTGAATGAACAGTATTGTTTACTGGATTACGTTTCGGATACAATATATTGTCCATAGTCATATCAAGATAACTACACAGCTTTCATATAGTCGTAATTTTCTTGTTTCTTTGTCAGATGGGCAGTAAGATTTTACATATATCCGGAACAGGTGCTCAGTCATTCCTGTTGCTGCATATGTTAGGTGTTGATTCGATAAACAAAGATTCAGTTATCAATCCCTCTCTCTACCGTAGTAGTAAAACGAAAGATCTACGACAAGAAACCAGATACATCAACGACGCCTTAATCATCAACAATTACCTTCCCAAATTAATTGATATGCTCCTTAGGAAATGCAAAAAAATATCAGTAACACAGTCATTGATAGTAGTAATAATAGTAGTAATAACAACAACAATAATAGTAATAATGATATTAATAATATTAGCGGCAATACTGTGAACAGAGAATTCAAAACCTCCACCTTACTACCATACAAAGAAGGCACCTCAGAAACACTACGTAGAATTCTCAATAAGGCTGGCTGGCTGGCTGGCTGGCTGGCTGGCTGGCTGGCTGGCTGGCTGGCTGGCTGGCTGGCTGGCTGGCTGGCTGGCTGGCTGGCTGGCTGGCTGGCTGGCTGGCTGGCTGGCTGGCTGGCTGGCTGGCTGGCTGGCTGGCTGGCTGGCTGGCTGGCTGGCTGGCTGGCTGGCTGGCTGGCTGGCTGGCTGGCTGGCTGGCTGGCTGGCTGGCTGGCTGGCTGGCTGGGATTAGAGTGGCATTTAAACCTACAAACTCATTTCGAAATAAGCTTTGTAGGCTAAAATATCCTATTGACCCAATTAAGCAGAATAACTTAGTTTACCAAATCCCTTGAAATGATTGCGAGGTCAAATACATAGGTCAAAGTAGTGGACCACGATCAATTAGGCTATCGGAACACAAAAACTTAACTAGGTCAAAATTGGTAGATTCTAATAAGGTAAGGAATTTGGAAAAAAGCTCAGCCATATCTATGCATGTAATGACACACAACCACACAACAGGATGGGACAGGGTGAAAAATTTTAAAACATAACAGAGTGGAGGGAGAGATTGATTGATAACTGAATCTTTGTTTATCGAATCAAACAACACGAAATACATGGAACAGGAATGACTCAGCATCTGTTCGGGATATATGGAAAATCTTACTGCCCATCTCACAAAGAGACGAGAAAATTACGACTATATAAAGGATATCTGAAAGCTGTGTAGTTATCTTGATATGACTATGGACAATATATTGTATCCGAAACGTAATCCAGTAAACAATACTGTTCATTCACTGGGTGATAAATCTATTAAATCAATAAAAATGGGACTGAAATCAATCAGTCTTCAGAAATCTTCAAACCTTATACATTTAGCAAATCAATAAATGCTACTTTTCAATAGTTATGAAGTCGTCATTTGTTTGTTGTGAACTGTTTATAACATAATGCAAAGAAGTGATCCTTTTTTAGGGAAACGTCGAATAATTAACTGATCCTTTATCCCTGCCTACCCTTCAGACTGTGGTTTTACTAAGTTGCTCGGCACCTACCTACGTTTCATCAGTTCTTATCAATTATCAGAATTTTGTGCTCATTTTGGTATTAAAGAATAGAATAATGAAACGACTATCATCTTAAGTGATGAAAATAAATCCTGACAGACCATTGAATCTTTACTGTACTAGTCTTCAGCATTTTATAGTTACTCATATTTGATTTGATACATACTTTTTGGCAGCGGTAGTTATTGGCTATACGAAACACGAATGGAATAACGCTTATGACATAAGATATTCACATCCAAAGGTAGCGATATTGCTGTTCAGTGACTAAATTGCTAAGTAATGATTGATATTTTCGAACTTGACACTCCTGAAAAGTAGAGCGCCTTAACCACCTTCAAAATAGAAGCTCTGATTTTGATTCTAACTGTTTCCCTTCCTAGATACTAACCAGTTTATAAAAATCTGTTGACCCAGGTTTGTTGCCTTTTGTCATGGCATCGCTAATCCTTCTTGTCGACAGTTTGGGATAAGTGAATATATATGAGTGGCTTTTTAAGTGACTGAATGAAAGTTATTCCCTATATGAATAAGCATAATTATGTAGAGGTAATTGTTTTTCTTGGGACATATCAACCGCACTAAAAGTAATACCGATTATTTAAAATTTTATAATTACTTCCGGTTTCCTTCAATGAAACTGAATCGATTCTCATATAATCCAGGTTTAGATTTATTGTTCAACGCAAAACTAATTACTCCTGATATTCACTTCTCACTTTTTGGCATTTTGTTTCAAATTGGAAGTGAATTCTCATATTGTTCAAGTTAGAACACAACATCCACCTAGAGTATAGAAATTGATATCAGGGTAGTTTTCATCACAAATATATATCACCTACGGAGCCACTGAAAACCTGGGAGCATTGGACAGCTATTTCCTTTAACAAAACAATATGAAGGCGTAAATTGTGGGATTGTAGTGGACTGGATCATACAACAAACAGTGAGGAGCAAGAAGAGGGGAATACGCTGGCTGGACCGAGGAAAAAATCCTAGAAGATTTGGATTTCGCCGGTGACTTGTGTTAAATGTCACACAAACTTGAAGATCTACACGCAAAATCCAGAAAGTTGACAGAAGAGTCAGGGCAGTGAAAACGGGAATTCAAATGAACGTGGAGAAGACAGAGGTGATGATGATACCACCCAACCAACACCACCACCAACAACAACAACGTGCTCCAATCATCATCAATGGGAGAAACTTAAAAGAAAATAGTCCCTTTCACCCATCTAAGCAACACTGTCACAACTACAGGCAACACTGGCATGGACGAGGATGTCAAAGCCAGCCACGATTGGAAAAACAGCAAGACAAACGTTCATTATCCTGAAACCAGTGTAGAGATCTAATGCACTCAGCATAAAGTGTGAACAACATCGCGATTTTCAACACTAAGTCAGTCAAGTCAGTACTTGTATATGATGGTTGAGAGACTTTG